AGACCGGGCGGTGCTCGGCTGGGGACCAGGGGTGCGGAGCCGGGGCCGGGCGGTACTCGGCCGGGGGCCGGCGGTGCAGAGCCGGGGGCCAGCGGTGCCGGGCCGGGCCATCACACACTTTCTTAGTTGATGTAATCTTTTATTGAACCTTTCTTAGTTTTAATTATTAAGGCCCTGATCCTGCAAACACCAATTTGAATTCAATACAACTATTCCCATGTGTAAAATTAAGCACATGCTTAAGTGCTTGCAGGATTGGGACCTAATTTGTTTTTTGTCAATTTTATGCTTTCCCGTTTCTGACTTTTTAACTTTTAATTTGCTCTTTTCTGTCTATCAGGATATTCCCTTTACATGTTGTAATCAGGAATTTTGAGAAAACTATGACATATGACGTCTGATCACAGAAGCCTCATCTTGCAAATATTTCCATATACTTAACTGGAAAAGAGATTAAGTCTCATTGGTTTCAAAGGGACTATTTGCATGTTTAAAAGGTTAACATATGCATAAGTATTGGCAGGATCAAGGCCTTTATACTTTATTGCAGTAAATAAGTTTCTGATATACACAGTGAAGTCAGGGCCTATGCAATTACATTAATCTGCAATATTAGATGTACAAAATGCTATGTGATTATTTAGCCAACATTTCATGTGAAACTCTAGCCATACAGACCATAACAACTAACAGCCTGATCCAATGCCTATTAAAGTCTTTCCATTTATTTAATGGGCTGTGAATCAAGCCCTGTGGACCTAATCTTTTTACTCACTAAAAATTTCCCATGTATTATTCATAATTATTATTTGTTAAGCAATCACAATGTACTCAGTGCTGTACATGACATACATAAAAATAGCCGCTGCTTGAGTTTATAATCAATGAGTTTTAATCCTGCTTCCATTTAAGGTAGTAAGAGATGTGCCATTAATTACAGAGCAGAATCAGGTCCTAAAACACACGAGTAAGGTCTTAACAAATTCACGGCCATGAAAAATGAGTCACGGACTGTGAAATCTGGTCTTCCTCCGTGAAATCTGGTCTTTTGTGTGCTTTTACCCTATACTATCCAGATTTCATGGGGGAGACATTTCTCAAACTGGGGTTCCTGATCCAAAAGGAAGTTGCAGGGGGTCACAAGGTTATTTTAGGGCGGGTTGCAGTATTGCAATCCTTCTGTGCTGACTTAAGAGCTGGGCAGCTGGAAAGTGGCATCTGTTGGCCGGGCACCCAGCTCTGCAGGCAGCAGCCCATAAATCAGTGGGTCTCAAACTTTTTTACTGGTGACCCCTTTCACATCGCAAGCCTCTGAGTGCAACCCACCTAATAAATTAAACACACTTTTGAATATATTTAACACCATTATAAATGCTGGAGGCAAGCGGGGCTTGGGGTGGAGATTGACAGCTCACCACCCCCCATGTAATGACCTCACAACCCCCTGAGGAGTCCTGACCCCCAGTTTGAGAACCCCTGCCATAAGTAATGGTGGCAATGCCATACCATGCCACCTTTACTTCTGCGCTGTTGCCTTCAGAGCTGGGCAGCCGGAGAGTGGCAGCTGCTGACTGAGGGCCCAGCTCTGCAGACAGCAGTGCAGAAGTAAGGGTCGCAATACTATACCATGCCGTCCTTACTTCTGCGCTGCTGCTGGCAGCAGCTCTGTCTTCCGAGCTGGACTCCCAGTCAGCAGCTGCCACTCTCCAGCTGCCCAGCTCTCCAGGTAGCACCGCCGCCAGCAACAGCACAGTTGTAAAGGCAGCAGTATCACAACACCCCCTACAGTAACCTTGCAACTCCACCCCCACAACTCCTTTTTTGGTCAGGACTCCTACAATTACAACACTATGCAATTTCAAATTTTATTAGATGAAATCATGAAATTTATGATTTTAAAACTCCTGTGACCGTGAAATTGACCAAAATGGACCATGAATTTGGTAGGGCCCTGCACATGAGGTAATGAGATGGAGAGGAAGGTGTTTACATTTTTAGTTCCTTCATTCCCTGATACAGGGTTGGGGTGAAGATGACATTTGATTGATCAGGGTTAGTGTTTCTTCTGGACCCTGTTTCTCCACCTTTCCCTTTAGAACTGCATGGAAACTCACACACAAAAAAAGCCTAACTGCTCTCAGTGGATTTTGATATTAAAATATGACCAAAAATGTGTAGGTGGAGAAGGCTCAAGTTAAGATTATTTGAAGGAAAATTTAAAGTACAAAGGAGGAAAGAAAGTATTTAATTGGAACATGATTTAATGTGATGACGGCTTGACAATAAAAGACCCTTTAACCATACGCTGCTTTTTTCCTTTACATTTGTTTGTGGTTGAGAACAAAGTCTCCCACTTCCTGGAATACTAGTTTGTTTAGCAACTTTAGCAGAACAAAACACACCATGAACATAAAGTTCCAGATCAGTTGTTTCTTTCAAACAAACAGCTTGTTTCAGTTGTCGAGCTGCAGAAAAGCAAAAGCAAAATAAACTGTTCCAAAATAGACGAAGGAAAGACCAGGCAAGGGATTTCATGAGAGGCCCAGAGCACTGATCTACACTACAAACTTGTGTTGGTATAACTATGATACTCAGCGGGGCCCTGCAGGGGATCCAGAGTCAACCTCAGGTTAGGAAGGACTGGAGAAGTGCTTTCCTTACCAGCCAGGGAGAAGGCCTGGCTGGAGTTACCTGAAGCGAGCGACATAAACAAAACTCTTAAGAAGGGGTGTCATGGGACTGCTGAGATAATGAGGGTGCAGTGAATTGGTGATCCTGTAGAAGAACAGAATTTCTAGCTTTGAAATAGATAAGGTGTGTGACATAATATATTTTATTGGTAATGTCTTTTATTCTGTTGTTGGAAGAGACAAGCCTTTGAGTCTCACAGAGCTCTGTTTCAGGTCTGGGAAAAGTAACCCCATAGTGTCATAGCTAAATACAAGGTGGAATGGATTGTTAAGCATAAGGGGTTAACACATTTTGCAAGAGACTACATAAAGTGAAGTAGGCTATTAACACCTCTGCTGTCATAGTACAAAGGAGGGTTAGTAAGTTATATATTGTTGTAATGAGCCATAAAACCACTGTCTCTGTTGATTTTTGGTGTCTAATAGAGTTATGAATTTAAGCTCCCAATCTCATTTTTTGAAGGTATTGTGCAGGTTTCCTTTGAGGATAAGAACTGATAGGTGAAGTGTTTGTCCATGGGTGATAGGGTATTTTTTGTCTTTTATCATTTTTCTGTGTGAGTTTATTCAAGAACACAGTGATTGTCTAGTTTCACCCACATAGTTCTTGTTGGGGTATTTGGTTCACTGGATGAGATACACCACAGGTTGTGATAGGCATGTGTAGGACCCATGGATCTTGAAAGGCATGTTGTGGGGGGTGTTTGTTCATCATAGTAGCAATGGAAATATGTCTAGATTTTGCATTTGTTGTTCTGGCCAGGTCGGGTGCTGCTTTGAGCTGGTGTGGCGTGGACTGTGGGTAGTTTGCTTCTGATGATGAGCTTGGTGAGACTGGGGGGTTGTTTGAAGGTCAGAAGAGAGGATTCCGGAAATATTTCTTTCAGGACGGGGTTCCTGTCAAGTATTGGTTGTAATTGTTTGATGATCCTCCATGTGGATTCCAGTGGAATGGTAGGTGACAACTAGGGATTTTCTCAGTGGGGGTCTTTTTCTGTGTTGAAGTAGGTTCTCTTTGGGTAGCTTGTTCTTTGATGCAATCTAGTTTTCTGATGGAGTGTCCTTTGGTGAAGGCGGTTTTAATTGTGGTAAGATGTGTATCCCAGACTCTTTCCTCAGAGCATATTCTGTGGTATCTGAGTGCCTGGCTGAGAATTTCTTGGTGTATCTGGAAAAACAACAAGGAGTCTGGTGGCACCTTAAAGACTAACAGATTTATTTGTGTATGTTACCATTCCTGATGTCCGATTTGTGTCCATTTATTCTTTTGCGGAGGGACTGTCCGGTTTGGCCAATGTACATGGCAGAGGGGCATTGCTGA